AGTTGTTCTGCAAAAGATCTAGAGGCTGCAGTGGACCACAAGTGGAACCTGCGTCAACAATGCGCTATCCTAAGCTGCTCATCGAGGCAGATGGTCACGAGTCAGGGAGGTAAGCTACTTCCTGGGCCAGTTCACAGCTAGAACTCTGTGTGCATCTCTGGCAGTCCCATTTTAGGAAAGACACCCAAGCTAGTGAGTGCCCACGAGACAGAGAACGTAGCTAAGCATGCTGAGCCTCGAAGAAAGAAGACTTAGGAGGACCATGAAGACTGAGGGGAAGAGAGCTGAGCTTTGTTCTGCTGGATCCTGGAAAACAGGCTCCCAAGGCACAGGGGAGAGTGGCTGAGAAGTAGCTTTCGACTGCACAGAAGAACTGAGACCTGTCTGAAAATGAGACGGGCTGCTTTGGAAGGTAGCGAACTCACCGTCAACAGAGGGTTTCCAGTGAAAGCTGAAGGATTCTGAGGCTCTGCACCCATCACCTACTCAATGGCGCTGTTCTGAGAGAGGCACCGAGTGAACTCTAAGGTGCAAGAGAGGTATGGGAATGAAGGCAAGGATGATGGCAATGCCAAGAGGGAAGGCTTTGGTCAGTAGACCTGCACTTCTGCTGGAGTCAGCCCTCTGGCCAATACCAAGGCTTTAAACCAAGAGAAAACTCAGGTGGGCCCGAAGCGCAGCTCGATATGGATGAGCATCCAACAAACCTGCTCATTTCTGGCCTGGGCCTGGCCAAGACACCCTACGAACAGACAAGCACACAGAGCCGAGGGCTGGAAAAGGCAGCTGCTGCCTCACCTGTGCTGGGGTCCTTCCCCTCTCTCCTCTGCCTGCATGCTGGCCCCAGATGAGGTCAAAACCATCCAGGCAAGGGGAAGCCTACCCCAACCAAGTGCAAGACGCTCTTTTGCTTTTTTCTTAGCTATGTTCCAAAGTATACAAAATTAATTCATGAGCGAGTGACCCAAGCACAACGCCTAAGAGCCAGGCCTCTGCTAGATAAAGTGGCCCCCAGCCCAGCAAAGGGAAGTACAGGCAGGAGGCAAAGGGACACCAGGCTCCGGCCTGGCCCTAAGAATGAGAAATGAACTAAACAGGAAAGCTAGGTGCCCTTGGAACCCCCTCACTACCCCAGGCTAGGCAGGAGCCAGGAAACAGAACACAACTAAACACCTTAGAAAACCCTACACTGTCTCAGCTGGAAGAGGACTTGGAGATGAATGAGTCCATCCAACCAGATTCCTCATTTTACAGATGAGGAAACTGAGGCGTGTAAAAGACACGTCCATCCATGGTCTCATATGGTAGGGAGCAGCACATGCACCATTCAAAGCCAGTACCCCTGAATGCCACCACACAGCACATGATCATATCTTAAGAAGGAAACTGCCACACTGGGGCAAACAAGATGGCAAGGGGGCCTAGAGCTATGTCAGGTCACTTCAGGGCAGACACAGGCCATGACTATCAACCTGAAAGTGTCTAAAGGATCAGAAGCTGAGCAAGGGATCGCTTCTCCTCTGCTCAGCCCCAGAGGGCAGGACCAGGGCAAAGGGGGGAAGCTGCAGGGAGGTAGATGACATTCAGTTCCTAATAATTAGTTACTGTATTAATTAGTAACTGGTGGTGAGCTCCCCGCCCCTAAAGGTAGAGGCTGGGGATCACTGCCGAGATCGTTGGACTCAAGCCTGAGGAGGGTTCAAGAGGGTTCCAGTCCTGTCTTTGTTTCTCATTAGCAGTGTCCTTGGCCTAGTCACTCACCTTCTCTCTAAAATGAAGTGCTTGGCCTAGACAGGAGAGAAGGCCGCTCTATCTACAACATGCTATGATGCTTCCTGTGCAGCTCTGAACACTCTAGGCATTAGCAGCCAGCCAAGAACTCAACACAGGCCCTTTGCTTGTTGCACCAGCCCTAATGCCGAGCATGGCCCATCAGGGACAGGGAAAGGGCCCAGCTAAGCCTTCTGTTGACCTAGGGAGGCCCAGGGCCCAGCAGGGAAAGATGAGAGGAGGGAGGGAGAATGAATCTGGTCACTGCCTCTGGTGACTCAGGGGGTCTCTGTGGCACATCTGACTTCCAATGTTTTGCCCACAGTCCCCCATGCCTGGAAGAGACTCTCCCATCCTCAAGGCCCATCTGACCCAAGAAGCCTTTTCCTCATCTGGTCCCCCTTGGTCCACTTAGACCACTGGGTCACTCCTCCAGGGCGTTTACTGGTTTTCTAATCATTTGGAAACCTGTATCATGGAACGAAAGGAGCTCTTGACATCTGGTCTGCAAAGGCTACAGCTCAAATCCTTGGCTGGGTAATGGTGACCTCTCCCACAGCTTTAGTTTCCTCAACTGTATAAAGTGGAATCATGGCTGTCTGACTCCCTTTTCAAAGTGGGTGTCAGGAATCTTACACTGCGGAGTGCCCCTGAAGGCCTGGCAGCTGGATATGTCATAGGAGAAACTGGGGACCTGCCTGGGCTCAGACCCAGGCTCTACCATGTGCTCCTGGGTGACCTTGGGCAACTTACCGCCCATCCCTGGGCCTCATTTCCTCCTCTATTAAATGGGCCACGTGGCCTGAAGGTCCCTTGTAGCCCTAAATCTACGATTCATGACGTGGTAAAAATGACCAGTAACTCGGATGGCTTTTGATAAGGACACTGGATGGCAGGCCACCTCCCCAGGAGCATGAGGTGCTAGGGCCGATCTCTGAACTCCAATGCCCCGTAGCTGCAGTTTGGTGGAGAAATGGCAGATGGTGACAACATAAAGACAGAAGCCAGGGAGATGACCACAGCTTCAAAGGGAAGAGTGGGCGCCATGAGTGGGAGTCAGCAGGGGCCCAGCAAGGGCCAGGGCACAGCAATGGGTGAGGCAATGGGGACCTCCTCAGATGCAAGGAGACATCTGACTTTGACATTCCTTTGGGGATCTCCCTGGTGAATTAAAATAAAACAAGCCGTGGCCTCACGGCTTGAGAGCTGGCGTCTGGAGGACAGTCTGAGCCAGGGCGCTCTCAACCGGGTATGGATTTAGGAGCCTGCACTGAAGGCCCACTCAGGCTTCCTTCATCACCATTACCACCATCTTTTGGTAAACTAAATTTTCATTGACACCATTGTTTCTTTTAATATCACCCTAATATCTCCCAGTGTCTCTCCATCTCCCCTCAGCCAACCCATACAGAAGACAGAATTGTTTAAAGATAAAAAGAAAAAAGGAAAAAATCAGCACAACTAATTAACAGCAGCTTTCCTAAAGTTCAGCTTAAACCCGTGACCTCCGCAATAAACTAGAAACCCCTTTTTTCGGCATTTAAGGTTTTTTCCAACCTGGGTCCAGCTTATCTTTCCAGGCTGATGACACATAAATTTCCCTTCACCCAATCTACACTCCAGCACACACACACACGCGCGCACCGTGCATGCACACCCCTCCATTTCTCGCCTTTGCCTGGTGCCCCCTCCCCTTCAGGGCAGTTCTCACACCTGAGGCCCCCACCAGCTGCCAGGACTCTCCCCTCCCCTCCAAAAGTTAGGTGATGTTTCTTTCATATAGATTAAGTATTGATTCAGCTGTGTGCATGCTGCCTCCCCCTCAAAACGGAAGCTCCATTTAGGCAGGGGCCCCAGCTAGGACTGAAATTCCTGGTTCTCAGCCTTCTCACAGAGCTGACCATGAAGAGTTTACTAAGGAAGAGCCACGGCGCTCGCCCAATTCAGGGCCTCCTCAACACAACGGACATGAGGGGGAAGATGGGGAGAAGATGCTTAATAAAGGTTTGCTTTGGTGATCTGAAAGAGAAAAGGTGACCACCCAAGAGACACAAACAACCTAGTCTCAAGTGAGAATCAGCCTCCAGAAGCCCCATGCCCTGTGCCGGTGAGCTCCTGGAAGCTAGACACCCACAGGCCAGAAGCCGGTGAGGGCGAATGTCTGCTCCAGAGCAGAGTGGCTTTGGGGGGATGTCCCACAGAGGCAGATCCATCAAAGGACCCAGGAACAAAGCTCCCCTGGCTTTCAAAAATCACTATGGTTAACCAACACCAAGAGGTTTCAGAGAACAAGGGAAAAAATAACCTTGAATCTGTTTATTTTATATATAATACAATCACTAGCATTTGTATCTGTTTGCAAAGCACTTTGCAAATATTGATCCACACACAACTACCCTGTGAGATAGATTCCATTACCACTCCACGTTAAAGATAAGAAAACTTAAGGCTGAGAAAGTTTCAGTGACTTGCTCAGGGTCACACAGGTGCAGAGCGTTTGAGGCTGAGCTCAAGTTTTTCCTGAGCGACGTCCAGTACTCCGCCTCCCACACACACCGTGTAGGAACAAGACGCCTCCTCCCAGCCCCAAGCCTTTCCAAACGCCTGGTGTTAGGAGCAGCAGTCAGACACGGCCACAGGCCATGCCCAGGCTCACACGGGGCCCAAGCCTTGGCCACTGGGAGCCTTCCAGTGCCCACACACAACCAGAGCAGATGCCCCCCAACAGCTCCCAAGAACAAGAACTAGAAAGGAAGACCAAAGAGATTATCTAGGCCGAGCCCCTCGTCTGACAGAAGAGGAAACTGAGGTCCAGAGAAGGGAGGGGACCCGAGAAGACTTCAGTCACACAGGGAGGAAAAGGAGCAGAGCGGAAAGAGACGCCCATCCCCTGCTGCTCCAGAGCCAGGGCTAACTGCTCTGCTTGGGCCCGCCTGTCCACCTGGAGCCTCCAAAGCCAGACACTCCTGGATCCAAGACACCACCCAGGAGACAACTGTCAGGGACTTGGAGGGTAGGCAACATGCAGAGAATTCCCAGAAGGCCCAGAGACTTGTAGAAGACCACCAGAAGCCAAGGCCACAACTGCTCAGCTCTCTCTGGGTCCACTGAGGGAAGCTAAGTGGTCATTTCTGGACGGGACAATGGCGTCCCAAGCCCTGGCTGAGGCCAGACTGACCCCAGCATGAGGAAGGGAGGGGGAGGGGGGAAACGAAGAAGAAGGTACTCACAAGCTGCCTCTTCTCGGAAGGCTCAGCTCCTTCTAAAAAACAAAAGAAAGGCCCAGGTTAGAGAAGCGTGGCTCATCCAGAGGGTAATGATGGTGGGCATTTAGGTAGTATTTTAAGGTCTGCAAAGTGCTTTACAAATAAGATCTCCTTCTTTTCCCATAACCGCCCTGGGAGGGAGGTGCCATTATTACCACCCCCATTTTACAGATGAGGCAATTGAGGTACAATGAGCACTTAAGTCATCCTGACTCAGGCACTCTACCTGCTGCCCTCTCAGCTGCCCACACGTGCATGTCTCAAGACGGGCAGTGAAAGGATGTGGCCACGTCTAGCCTGGAGAAAAGAAGACACTGCAGCTGGGCTGGTTGTGCCTGGGCCCCGAGAGCGAGTGAAGGGGGCCCACGTGGGGGCTGAGGGTCAGAAAAGCCAACTTCAGCTGGCCATCAGGAAGAACTTCAGGAGAGGGAGAGCCCTTCCAGGGTGGAGGGGGTGACCTGGGGAGGCTCTGGGGAGGTGGGCGGCTCCCCTCCTCAGCTGGCTGAGCCCTTCTCAAATACACTATGGTAGAGATGCTTTTAGGGCCTGGGCTGGACTTGATAGTGCAGAAGCCCCCAGGGAGAAATGGAAAGGTCAGCGCCTCAGGAGGCAGAATAAACAACCTTAACACTCATTCCCATCCTAGGAAGCCAGGAGGAAAGGGTCAGAAGGCCGCAGAGCTCAGGTTGGCCACCAGGGGGCGGCATCTCCTCAGCCAAGAATCCTGCAGTCTGGGTACAGGAGAAGCTCCAGGCCAGGGCAGAGCAGCTGCCCGGGGCATGCTCGTGCCCATCCATCATCCCCAAGCCTGGAATGCTCTCTCTTTTTACCATAACCTCACACACTCCCTGCTTCTTTCAAGATGCAGCGCCAGCACCGTCTGTGTGAAGCGTTTCCTGAGCTGCTGGTGCCTTGAGTGGATGGAGCACAGTCCCTGGAGTAAGACCTGAGTTCAAATCCTGCCTTAGACACTTACTAGCTGGATGACCCTAGGCAATTCACTGAACCTCTGCCTGCCTCAGTTTCCCCAACTGTCAAATGGAGACCATAATATCCCCTCTCTCCCAAGCTGTGGTGAAGATAAAATGACATTGAATTTATAAAGAGCTTTGTAAACCTTAAAGTGCTCTATAAATACTGGCTTATTCTTACTCTTGGGGTAGCTAGGAAGCATCATAGTGCACAGAGCACCTGGCCTGGAGTCAGGAAGTCTCAGCTTCCTGAGTTCAATTCTGGCCTCAGATACTTACTAATTGTGTGACCCTGGGCAAGTCACTTAACCCTGTGTGCCTCAGTTTCCTACTCTGGAAAATGAGCTGGAGAAGAGGAAATGGCAAACCACTCCAGTGTCTCTGCCAAGAAAACCCCAGATGGGGTCACAGAGAGTCAGACATGACTAAACAATAAAAATGCTTACTATTATTATCCCCTCACCCGTTAGTGCCCAGCCTCCCAAACATCCCTGTATTGAACCACTTTGTATTTACGGATTTATATCAGGGTTTACCCAGGGAAGCCCCAGTAGAACAGACAGACCGAGACCGTGGATAAGGAATGCGCCATTCAACATCTCCAAGAAAGACTGCAATTTCTACCCTTGGGTGGCAAAAGGGGAAGGATGTGGCTGGGCGATCATTGCTTCATTCTCCTGTCTAAGAAGAGCTGCACCAGACATCTGCAGTCCAGGGGCACGACGCTCTTGGGTTCAGACTCAAACCTACTTTTGCTGGTCCTCCAGGAAGGAAGGAGTCCCTCTCCAGACTGGACGCAGCCTGGTTAACCTTGGCAAAGCCAGCTTAACTTCCCTCCTGCCACAGGCAATCATGGAGAGTGAACCAACAGGTTCATCCCATTAGAAATCAGCACGCTGCAGATGTCAGCATGAACAGCAGCGTCCACAGAAGGAGCAAGACGGAAGCTCAGTGTAACCAAGGAGAGAAGTCCTTTCTTTGTGATCTCTGGAGACGACGGTGCTAGGCACCCAGGGTCCTGCTGGGGAGGCCCCTTCCAAACGTCAGGCCCCTTCTGCCTCTCTCTCCAGACACATGAAGGCCCAACCCTCACGCTCAGGGGTCTCTATGCCAACCAGGGGTCACTCCTCCTCGTGCTCGTGGTGCACAGCACCCAGGATCTGGGCAGATGGGCACAAATCCAGCTCATTATACAAACTAGCCAACTCCCCAGAACTTCCCTCACCCACTCCCCCAGGGAACAAGCCTCGGGGGCCTGCTGGGCTCAGCACTCCTGCAAGGCTGGAGCTCAAGGAGGGTAACTGAATCCTCTGGCTGATGACAGGTCAACATGTCAATTAGCTGCCTCCACTTTCTCCTCCTAGGCTCTCACAAAGGAAGACTGGCCAAGCTTCAGGCCTGAGGCACCAGGCCCAAGGCACCAAGGGTCCCAGCTCCCTTTATCTCCTTTCTAAATAACTGAAAGAGGGGAACAAAGAGTTCCCACTGCTACTGTGTTTAAGGGCCACAAATTATTTCGTGAACATTAGTGGGGTACAGTGTCCAGGATGGGATGGAGGACAGCCCCTGCTCCAATCCCAAACTGCGGTCATTCTGCCTCTTCCTCTGCCTTGCAACTCCAAGTCTGCCCCTCCAATCCCTTAGTCGCTCAGTTCTTTCCCAGACCATCTCTGCAGCACTTCCCTGCACCTTCCCCACCTTAACCCTCAGGTGAACCAGTTCAGCTCTAGACTGTCCTCTGCCCTTGAGTTCTTTACTATCTTATTTTATTGCCAATTTTGCCCCACCAATGCTCCGCCAGGATCACTCCCACCATCCAGTGCAGAAATTCACAAGTGTGTAGTGGTTGTATTACCTAACTTGCCCTGGGCCCTCACTGATGTCCAGCAATCCTCTGACACCTCCCTCATCGACTCCCTATCCCACAGTCCACAGCAGCTCTTCCACAGTCTTCATCCTTCCTCAAACCTCCCAAAGTTCCTCTACTCCTACCTTTTCAGCTGAGAACCTGGCTTCCAATTTCACTGAGAACTCCCTCTTCTTGTAACACACAGATGCCTTCCGCTCCTCCCTCCTCCTTCACTCCTGTCTCACAAAGAGATGGCTTACCAAGGGGCAGCCCCTCTACATGCAGAAGTGATCCCACTCTGTCCCCTCTTCTCCAGCACATCGCCCCTTCCATCACCCCCATGCAGTCACCGATCTTCCATCTCTCCCTGTCTGTTGGCTCTTCCCCTCTCCTGCCTACAAACATGCTCATGTCTCTCCCCTCCTCCATCTGTGAGCTATCATCCCACATTTCTGCTGCCTCTGAGGCTAAACCAGCTGCTGTGAAGGCCGTCCACAAACGGTGGCCCTGCGTCCTTTCCTCTCGCGATCTTCTTAATTCTCGATAATTTGACTTCTCATCATTTAACAAAACTGCTCTGTCCAAAGTTACCAAGGATCTCGTAATTCTCAAATCCAGCGACCTTTCTCAGTCCTCATCCTTCTTGACTTCTCGGTAGCCACTGATCCCACTGACCCCCCACTTCTCCACGATGCTTTCTTCTCTCCAAGTGCCGGTGACCCGGCTCTCTTGCGGTTCTCTGAGAAGCCCCCTCCGTCTCCTTTGCCAGATCTTCATCCAAGTCACACGAGATCACTGGAGCTTTTCCACAGACATCTAACCTGGGTCCTCCTTTCCTCTCCCTTTATACTACTCCGCTTGCTGATATATTTAGCTCCCACAGATTTAATTACCATCCCTATGGGGAGGATTCTCAAATATGCTTATTCAGTTCTAATCTCTCTGCTGACCACCAATCTCCCATCTCTGGATGCCCACTGGAAATCACAAACTGGGGGTCCCATAATCAACTCAAACTTATCATGTCCAAAACTTCACTCATGATCATTTTCCCCCAAAGCTCCCCTGCTCCTAACCTCCCTATTATTAGTAGCTTTGTAACATCTCTCCAATACCTGTCCCTCTTTTCTCTGACACTACCACCCCTGGTGCTCATCACCTCACTTAACACCTCATCACCTCACTTAACAGCCACTGGGGGGGGTCCTGCCTCAGGTCTCTCCCCACTCCAGGCTCTCTTCTACACAGGTTGCCAAAGTCAGTAATACTGCCTCCTGGGAGGCACTGGAACGATAAGGGGGGTGGGGGGGCCACACAGTATTTTTATGAAATGAAACAAATTTCAAAAAAAACCATTAAAGGGTTAAATAAAATAGATTTCCAGGGGAGTGCTGAGTAATTTTCTTTAAAAGGGGGCAGTAGGCCAAATAAGTTTGGAAACCTCTGCTTCTATCTATACAGCTGCCAAAGTGATTTTCCTAAATCACAGCACCAGCCACGTCTCTCCTCCTCTTCTCTCTCCCCTCCCCGCCCCCCTTTCCAACGGCTCCAGGATCAAATATGAAATCCTCTTCATAACCTGCCCCCATCTTTCCAGTCTTCATACACCTCACCCCCCACACACACTCCATGATTCAGTGACACTCTTCAGACAAGATACTCCAGACCTCTGACTCCCAGAATTTTCACTGCTTTTCCTCCATGCCTGAGCCCTCCTTACACTTCTACCTCCTGGCTTTCCACAAGGCCCCCATAACTCTGGTGCCTTCACAGTTGTTGCGGGCTGCCTCCTTTAGTGAACAGCAAACTCCTTGAACGCAGGGACTGGTCTTTGCCTCTTTGTGTCTTCGGCACTTAGCACAGTGCCTGACACCCAGCACCCAGAATGATCCCTTCCTCACAAGAAGCTGGCCGCTTCCTGTCTCCTAACTCTCAGAGTTAATTAGAGTTCTGTTCCCATTTCCTTGGCACAGTAAAGAGCTTCTCCAGACACCTCAAAAGCTCCAAGTCTCTGGTTCTGGGAAACCTGGCACCCAGAACTGCACTGCACAGGTCTGGCAGATCTGTTGCTCTGGTCCCAGCTGAAAATGAGACACCCTGGGGGATGGGTGCTTAGTCAACATACAGAATGCAGCAGCCTCTGCCACCTGCCCAAGCTACCAAGCAAATACAAGAG